TGACGAGCAAATTAAAAGTTTCGTTCCGATTCCCATTCAAAAATGAAAGCTCTCGCACAAAACCAGATAGCAACCAAATTTGTTCAAATTCGGCAAAGTTGTTGGGATTGAAAGAGGATTGGCCAGCTAGGGGTTGTGATCCACCATGCAAACTTGACCGACCCTAATGTAAACATTTGAATCCCGATCTTTCTACACTGCCATGTGTGGCATAACAGTCCCATTAGAATATGACATCAAGCATAGATGAAACTGTTATCACCGACGAACCGACGTGACAGCTGCATTCAAATTCTTGCCCAAGACGCTATTTTTAAAATATGTTATACACTACCGCCATCTACTCATCCGATCGCGTCATCTTCGCAAGGACACGAACACACGTAAAATTTATATTGTCTTGGTTTGCGTCTCACCTTGCTTGACAGATCTGATCGCCCGTTGGACAGATCAAATCGCTCATTTGACAAATTGAATTGCGGACAAACTAAATGCTCCAGTGGCATGTCTGTTCGTCGGTGCTGTTATGTCGTATACTGACTGCCCTGTGCCATTAGCATTTTTGGCGGAAATGAGTTATACATTGGAATCGATTGTCAAATACCATAACTTTTCAATCTAAACGAAAAGCTTCCTACTAAATGTCGCGAAAAATACCAAAACTATGTTGTCCCATCCATAAGAGCCCATTAAGAAAAAGTAAGAGATTGTATCCAAGACACGACCGTAGATTTGACGTAGGATTACGTGCTCGGTATCAATATTCGGCGACTGTGTTAGGGAAACCACTTTTTGTAGGCAATCGGTGATAATTTTTATCACCATTGCAGCAGTTGGACATTAGTGACCTATTGAAAATTGATAAAATGTTTTTCTCAGCTTGTTGTTTTAACTAATAGGACAACTATGCTGAAAAAGGGCAGTATAGAGGAAGGGGAGTTTTGTATTATTTTGCTTATTAAAATCACTTGCAGGAAAGTTTGCATTTATTATCAATTTAAACTTGAGACCTCGAAAAGTTGAGCTGTATGGCTGTGTGTTCATCTCTGAAGGATTCAATTTATGTATGGGACAATGCAAATTACCTATGAAAATATATCTTCCATCGAACAAAGTACGAGATTTTCTCATTGCTAATTGATAGTTTAGAGTGTTGTTAACTCAAAATTTATAATAATCGGTGAGGGATTGCTTGCAATACACTATGTATAATTTAAGAATAACTTGTTTTTTTTTTATTTAGGTACCTTTTCGCAATATACTTGGCATTAAGCATAGGGCGTTAAACACATTTTAGTTTAGAGCATTTCCAGCCCAAAACGTAAACCGGTTGGTCATGAGTGTTTCCGATTTGAATGAAACATTTCTCACGTGTTCGCTGCTACTAATGGTTGCATTTTTCATTTAAATTAGATTTTTTTCTCCAGAGTAACTTTTGAAAAGGGCGTATAAAAAAATGGATCATTTTTTTTCCAAAAAATCATAACTTGAAAATTATTGATCTGATCAAAATGGCATATGAGAAAAAGTTTTAGGTAGTTAAATTATCTTTGCGGAAAAAAATACACTGAAAGAAAAACTTAGTAAATTAGTATTTAAAAAACGTAAAACGATGATTATCTCAAAACACCCCCCCTTCGATCTTCATAATTTTTTTTTTCAAGAAAACTGAAAAAATACCCTAATATTTGGTAAAGAGTGTATGCTGGTAACTTTCTTAAATTTTTTTTTATAATTTTTGAAATTTTTGTTGATTTTTACAAGTTGGTGAAATTGCATATTTTTTAGTAAAATAGTAATTTATTTGGATTCTACGCATAATTTTCAAAAACTTTGTATATTGAAACTTTTTTCCTTAGTCCAGCCGTTCTCAAGTTAATGCAATTTAAAAAAAATAATTATGATAATTTTCTACATTTTGGGCCATTTTCAAATGTTAGTCGTGATGTCCAGCAACGAGATGTTTTTCCATGAATATATATTAAAAAACAGACAATTCATTCTCAAATATGGTAGCTGTCAGACTTACCCGTTTCTATTTAGACGCAGCGGAAAAGAAACAAGTTTATAAGTAAATACTCTCAAATATACCCAAATAATCAACAAACCCACTCATGTGCCTTTTTTCTGTCGTCTATTAGTTGTTTACCTGGATAGAATTGTGTATGTCATAACAGAGGCTCAAAACATAAACAGGTAAACAAATATGTTATTAAACCTGTAATTGAGGTAAATTATCTAGGTACTTCTCTGACGTATACCATATTGTGCCTTAAGAGCTCATCCCGCGATATCACAACTACATAAAAAAGCACCCCGTGGAGGCTTCTTACACTCACACCTAAAAAAGTTTGCTATAATCAATTGGCAAATCAAAGTTGCCACTCGTGGAGAATAGACGAACTATGAAAGTGATGATGGTTTCAAAATTTTCCACGGACAGGTATACGAGTGCAATCTTAAAATGCTTTTATTTTGAAAACTGAGCATTGAATTTAAATCTGGTTGTTGCTACAGTTGTAGAAAAGCTGAAATCTATGCATACACTTAAAAATCTGAAAAGAAATTATTTTTTCTATATTATACATCTATTGAGTAGTCCTTAAGTTTTCTACTAACGTAGCACTAACCAGATTTAAATAAAATGCTCCATTTGCAAAATAAAGGCATTTTAAGATTGAACTCGTATACCTCACCGTGTAAAATTTTGAAACCATCATCACTTTCATAGTTCATCTATTCTCCACGAGTGCCAACTTTGATTTGCCAATTGTACCTAATGAAGATAGGTATAATGTCAACATTGTAATTATTCTGCTACATATATATATATATATTGGGACGATCTTCACCTGTTCCATTCAGTTCATCTCTCTTAGCGTTTCAAGTTAAAAAGCAAGTAGTTTTTTACGATGGATAACAATTTCAAGTGTTGTAAACCTCTACCTAAATCAATTTCAAAGCATGACACAGTAGCAGTTCAGTTGTTTATCTCAAAATTATTAGAATTTTTAAAGTTGCAAATAACAGTCCAAAAGTGTATTTTTATGTCAGATGTAGATGTAGATGTAGAAATTGAATGGCATTTTTTTGCAACTTCACACGGCAAAGGTTCTTGTGATGCGATTGGCGGTACCCTTAAGAGAATGGCAACCAGAGCAAGTTTAGCTAAGCAACACGAGCACCCTATAACGAACCCTAAACAACTGTACGACTGGGCAAATGGTCGTAAAGAAGATCTTCAAACAAAAATGTCATTTTGTTATGTTTCTACGGAAGAATACAAAAAGGCTGACACGGAATTTGATCCAATTTTTAAGAAAGTGAAACCAATTCCTGGAACTCGAAAATATCATTGCTATATTCCAGTTTCAAACAACCAAATTGCAGTAAAAATATTCTCTAATTCAAACGATACACCCAAATTATTCAATGTATTCAAATAATATGAGTTGTAAAATAAAATAATAAATATATACTGTTTTTTATCTCAACAAATCTTTCATTTGACCACATCAACGTGCTTCTCTTCCGCTGCCTCTAGATAGAAACGGGTAAGTCTGACAGCTACCATATCTGAGAATGAATTGTTTGTTTTTTAATATATAATCATGAAAAAAAATCTCGTTGCTGGACATCTCGACGAACATTTGAAAATGGCCTAAAATGTTGAAAATTGTTATAATTATATTTTTTTAATTTGCATTAACTTGAGAACGGCCGGACTTAGGAAAAAAGTTTCTATATGCAAAGTTATCGAAAATTATGCGTAAAATCCAAATAAATTATTATTTTTCAAAAAAATATGCATTTTCATCAACTTGTAAAAATCAACAAAAATTTAAAAAATTATAGATTTCTTTTTAAGGAAGTTACCAGCATACACTCTTTACCAAATATTAGGGTGTTTTTTCAGTTTTCTTGAAAAAAAAAAATTATGAAGATCGAAGGGGGGGTGTTTTGAGATAATCATCGTTTTACGTTTTTTAAATACTAATTTACTAAGTTTTTCTTTCAGTGTATTTTTTTCCGCAAAGATAATTTAACTACCTAAAACTTTTTCTCATATGCCATTTTGATCAGATCAATAATTTTCAAGTTATGATTTTTTGAAAAAAAATAATCCATTTTTGTATACGCCCTTTTCAAAAGTTACTCTGGAGGAAAAAATCATATTTAAATGAAAAATGCAACCATTAGTAGCAGCGAACACGTGAGCAATGTTTCATTCAAATCAGAAGGGGTCGAGACAAAATTGACATATTTTTTAACGATTTGAGCTAGAAATGCTCTTTACCCTTTTTCGTTTCACTCTTTTTCCCTGCTTTAATTTTATACATTTAACACACATCTCCCGTCTCTTATTAATCATTTGCCACGTTACTCTCATATCAGGTCCTGAATATTATGTACACCCTCTGTTTGTCGCACATGCACATGGAAAACTCAAACACCCTGATATCACCAGCACAAACTACGACATAAAAATCAAAATTGTTTAGATTGCCAACTGCAGGTTGACAAATATACACAATAGTAGCCAGATAGTCAATTTGTTTTTGTTCAAACAGTAAACAGCAACAATACATAACAAATGTGATAACTTAAATAGCTTCTGCAAGCTAACAAATATCAGTTTGAAAACATTTTAAAATACAATTCTCTTTTCATGCTACATAATTGCTTCAATAAAAGTTAGGACTAACTAGTCATAAAACAGCAAAACTGATGAAGTTATGAGTATTCCTCTAAAATCCCTTTCCTTTAACTTTGTACGAAAAAATAGTTCAATCGCGGTCAGATAGGCAAGAATCACAATAATTCACAATATCCCGAGCAATGTCCTTAGTGCACACAATCACAAACAAATCGTCCTTTCGTAACAATTCCATAAATAACCAAACCTGCATTACCGACATACGTGACATTATTTGTGTATCGCTAACATATCACGTCGTAGCAGAGGCATGAGTAAAATGTTGCACTATGATGAACCATTATAAAAGGGTGCTTGCTCTACGTTTATATGGCACATCTGATCGGTTTCTAATGGAAGTTCGGTTAGGTGAAGTATGGTTATCAAGACATACTTAGCACATAATTTTTTTTCTTGAAGACAGTTGACTGCTGCTTGCATGCGTCGGCGTCTTCCCTGATGGAGTCGGAATATAATCTAGTTGCTGCTACAACGTGAAACTCTAGTGAATTAAATTTGAGGCGGGGATGAGGCAAGTTTGCTCTTCTTAGATCCTGGACAGCGTGGCCAACAGTTTTCCAAAAATAACTGGACAAATTCTATTGAAAAGGCTGCGCAAATCAGGATTCATGTAAAACCAGCATTTTCTTAAGAGTTTCCGGATAGGGGATGGCTCTAATGTTGGCCTATGGATCTAAGATTTTGCCCATCGCTAAAAATCTGCTGTTTATCAATCTTATCAAGATGAACGCGTCATTGGGATGGTACTAATGGATATTTTTAGTCGCTATTGGAAACTTAGTCGATTGATGAATTTATGTATAGGCCCAAATTAGAGGCATTTAGAGCGACATTACATCCATTTCCCCTATATCATGGTTTTCACTATGCCTGAGAAAATCTTTTAGCATATCTTTAACTTTTTAGGTGAAAAAACAGTATTATTAGTATAAGGTATTCTTCTGGAGGTTTGATAAAAGAGGGTTTTATTCAACATTTCCTTAGAAAAAATTTGCAATTTATTACCCCGGTTTTTTTTTAAATCTCTATCATAAACTGCTCCAATTAGTAATTAATTTGTAGTTTAATAATTGCGCGATAGTCGCAATTTACAATCCTAGTTTAACCAACCTCTAATGGTTAACTTATCTATGGGTGGTTTAACTTTACATCATGTCGATTGGCAAAAATATTTAGAATTACATAGACTGATTATATTACATTAATGACTGGTGCAAAACTCTACAAGCAATAATAATGGTAATGTGTCTTACAAGGTAACAAGCAAGTTATATAGTATTGAACAATTCTTTGTAAAATAATGACCAGTAAGTACAGTAATATGGATGATTAAAAAAAGTGTAAGTTTGGCTGTTTGGTTGGATGCCGCCATAAAAACTGTAAGAATCCAGTTGGCATCGCTGTTTCAGGGTCGCCAAATTAAAATTTAAATTTTCATCAATTTTGATGCACAGGAATTATTCTGACTATTAAGTGCGATTACAGTGGCCAGAATCACTATCTAAGTGTTTTTCGATGGTGCTTTAGTATGAGATAAAGTGTCTAATTGTTTGAAAAAGTGAAAAAAAAAAATCAAGCATTATATTTCTTGTTTTTTTAAATCGAAATAAAAGTCTATGGGAACGAACAAAATATATAGTTATGTTCTGAAACATGATCTCTTTCAAATACATTTATCAAAATCAAAGAAATGAAATGGTTTTAAAAATCTAAAATTCTTTTAGAAATACAAATTAATCTGTAGTTTTGGCAACCCTGCTGAGATCATCTCCGTGGCTTTGTGTTTATTTTATATAGGGAAAATGGATTTAATGTCGGCCTAAATGCCCCTAATGTGGGCCCATACATAAATTTAGCAATCGACTAACTATTCAATAGCGACCAAAAATATCCACTAGTATCGCCCCAATCTAGATGAAATTGATAAATAGCAGATTTTTAGCGATGGGCCCAATCTTAGATCCATAGGCCAGCATTAGAGCCATTTCCCCTACTGATCAATAGCATTTCAAATATGTTCCATATTCGTTTCTTATTTGTTTTCATTTTTTTTTTCTTATAGGAAAATCATCGGCTAAAAACTCTCCTAAAACCACTCCTACCAAAAAAGCAAGATCTCAGCATAGTAGTGTTAAAGAGGATTAATTTTAGCATACATATTGTGGGAACTACAAAAGTGTGAGAACATCTGACTGAATACGTAAACTGTTTTTCTCAGTTCATATCGTTTTCCAAATGCTATACTGTAACTATCGATTTGTCTTCATCGTAGAAAAAATAGTAAAAGTATAGTACCGTTCTTAACTGGGATTTGACCCTCTGTTGATGTTATTATCAATTAGTTGCAAACCTAAGGTTCAAATAGTGGTGAAGAAAACAATTCCAAATTTAGGTTTCGGTTTGAAATATAGACAGATTGAATAGAATTCAGACTGCACATAAGTTCAAAAAGTTTAGCTTTTGTGGTTTTGTTATTAGTTGTTTCAGTTATACTTTAAGTTGATGATGTAAATTGTTCTCTTTTAGCGTCAATATACTCTGAGGTTATTAGTTATGACCCAATTTAGAAAAGTTTTGCAACAAAAACGACGTATGCCTTGAAAAATGAAATTGAATGTGATTGACAAATAACTGGTTTTAATAGAATGTCAGTCAGTCTCAACCTAGTGGCACTACAAAATAATTTGTAATGATGTTCAGGACTCGCATAGTTTAATTGCTTCTCCCGAAATAGACCAACAGAATGCTTGTTTAAAAAAACTTACATATCATTTTGAGAATCCACTTGATCATGAAGCAATAGAATTTGAAATGTAGTTTAGTTCATATTGAAATCTATCGGGTTAATTTTGGAACGTTGGACTGGTGCTTACATTCAGCACGATGAGGCATGGAGTATAAATACATATTTGCTGATGCTAAACCTTTCAAATTCTACAATTTATATGCTGCAGTACAGGCATATAATTAGTTCGCAACAGATTTCCGGTAGTGTAGATAGACTATTTTCGTTCGTCGATAAAAGTTTCTAGTCAATAAGGTTCAAGCGAAAGACAGTTGAATGATACATAATTTTAAGAGATAAATAAAAATAAGTCTTTTCACAAAACAAACTGTTAATCTTTTCATTCATTGATGACTTACCCAGTAGATGCTTTTAAATACGTCGGATTGTATCACATTCTTAAGTGCTGCGGTGAAATAGTTGTTGCAATAAAAAAAAAGTAAGAGGTTGTATCCAAGACGCGACCGTAAATTTGACGTAGGATTACGTGCTCGGTATCAATATTCGATGACTGTTTTAAGGAAAGTGCTTTTTGCTGGACATCGGTGATTATTTTGATAACCATTGCAACAGTTGAACATTTGTGTAATTATCAATAGAGACCTATAGAAAATTGATAAAGTGTTTATTTAAGCAGATTCGTAGAAAAATGTCCAATACATTGGCTGGTTTAGAGTTAAAATCCATCCGCTATTGACAGAGTTATAAGTGGCCGAAGCCTGACCACCAAAGCACGACAACACCCGCAAAAGCCTCCTTGGTCTAACCCACGCCTACGCGTGTTAAAACGTCAACGCTCTGCCGCCCTCCGAAAGTATTGTTACTCGCTCACCGTACTACAAACGACTGTTCAATTTTGCGAGTCGTAGTTATCGAAATTCCAATTGTTTTCTCTATAATCGACACGTGAGACGCACGGAAGCGAACCCTCGCACGAATACGAAAAGTTTTTGATCATTTGTCAACTCCAAACGGAAGGAATCCGGATTGCCTTGTTCCATGTTTTTCGGGAATGACGCGGCTAATAGCGAAAGAGAAAAAGGCGACTTGTTTGCTCGTCATTTCAAGCAAGTGTTTCTCCGCTTCGCCGACACAAGTACTGGATACTATTGTTGGGATGCCACGTGTTGTGCTTAGTTTCGATATTCCGCGCATTTCAGAAGACATGGTGATTGGTGCAACACGCAAACTGAAGCTCTAGTTCGCCGCCGGACCTGACGGCATTCCGTCATCAGTTCTAAAACGTTGTGTAGCCAATCTCTGCCTTCCACTTGCGAGGCTATTCAATCTCTCGGCTCAACAATGTGAGTTCCCCTGCCGCTGGAAACTTTCTAATCTGTTCCCAGTCTACAAAAAAGAAGATAAACGGAATGTCGTAAATTATCGTGGAATGACCTCCCTGTGTACCTGCTCAAAACTGTTCGAGATTATCATAAATGATGCTCTGTTCGCGTGTTGCAAAAATTATATCGATACAGAACAACACGGCTTTTACCCAAAGCGCTCCGTGTCCACGAACCTGGTGCAGTTTACTTCTAACTGTTTGCGATGCATGGATTCAGGATGCTGCGTATATGGATCTAAAAGCTATATTTGACACGGTGGACCATAATATCCTACTTGCAAAGCTGGAGATACATGGCGTCTCGTCAACGGCTGTGGGTTGGTTCAGATCTTACTTGGTGAATCGCTATGTACGGGTTAAGATTGGCGAGTCGGAATCGGATGTTTTTTTAAACAACTCGAGATTTCCGTAAGGCAGTAACCTAGGACCGCTACTGTTTTCGATCTTTTGGGGCATAGTGAATAGGTGGGGCATAGTGAGCATCCTGTGCACCAGCTTGGACTTCCGGCCGTTCGGAACAAATTGGTTGGTGGTAGGATCAATATCATAATGATATTGAACCTACTACCAGTTGATTTGTTTCATGCAGCTGGCGATCCAGCGCCAAACTGCGGGATGCTCACTATACCCCACCTGCTCACTATGCCCCTCCTTACCCTACATTAAAACAATAAAAAACTAACGATAAAATATCTTCCCCCGTTGGGGTAGACTTTAAGGTGTCCATACTGCCCCGTAGGGGTGTCCATTTTGCCCCGCTAGCTTTACGATGTCAATGTAATGTAACAAATTTTCAAATTGTTTTTTAAAATTTGCATCAATGTGCAACTGTTGCTTAGTAACAAAAGTGTGTAGTAAATATCACATAACGATATTTTGATTCCTATCAAACTTGGCAAAATCCTTATGGTGTCCTTAATGTCCCTAGTTCCCCTAAGTAGCACCTTTTTTTCCCAATTTCAAACAAACCAATCGCACCAAGGTGGGTGTTCGCTAAACGGTCCCGTTTAATAGGAACTGTAAATAATAGGTAATTAAAATTTTAAATGAACTCAAGTCGAAAAGACGCATTTGTGTCCCCGGAAAAAAATAACCATACAATTACCATAACATAAAATACAATTACATAAAAATCTATTGCCAACAATCGATCTTATTGTACGTATATTGTACAAGAAATCCTAAAATATTTTTGTTATAATAGATTTACAATACGTCCCATTTATTAAGAATTTTCAATAATAGAACAACAAGACAATTAATGGTAAAAAAACAATAAAATGTATTGTAATAAGATCAAATTT